TATATATATATATATATATAAATATATAATAAAAGTTTTTTTTAATTATAAAAACGTTTATTTTAAAAACTTTTTTCTAAAAATAAGTTTTTATTTTATTTTATTTTTTTAAGTAACATTTTTTTAAAAAAATAATTTTATTTTTTATTTTTGTAACCTTTTTTTAAATAATTTTTTATTTTATTTTTCTTGAAATAAGTTTTTATTTTAATTTATTTTTTATATATAATGTAAAGTTACTGTTTTACTCCTAAAATTAGTGAAAATTGTGAAAAAAAGTTGGGTGGTGATGGTGAAATAAAATCAAATTGAATGACCATGATGATATATAGCCCCTATTTGATGGCCAATTTTTTCTCATTCTATTTCTCATTCTTTATTTCAACCACACATTCTATTAATAAAATAATATTATACATAAATTCAAAATTTTTTCTTATTTTTTAATCATACAATCTTCCATCAATCACTATTTCAAAAATTATTTTCAAGCAAAATGGGTGTAAAAAAGGGGCATAAAAGTATAAAGTTGGATGTGAAACAAAATTAAATTGAGTGAATAAAGTGACAAGTATAAAATTGTGCATTTAACCCAATTTAATAGTGATCATGTTCTCACTCACACCCACATAATTGAGAGCGACCTTTACACAAATGGGAGAAGAGAAGGAAGACAAATTCGTCTCGTTGACGAATTTCTGCAAGCCAACCTCTTCCCAGGAATCGAAATTACGAACTTGCCCATTCGCCCGTGAATCCGAGACATTCGCGGATTCGAATGCCGACTCGGTTTCTTCCTCCACTGCTCCCACTTCATCTGAACCTACTGGAATCGTCATGGTTTCGCTACCTGACAGCACTAGCTCTATTGACCAAAGTACAGGCCAAGATGATGAATTGGAATTTCACACACCTCCTGAGCAGCGTTTTACCTCGTCCGAAGACCAAACCGTTGATTGTGCGGTGGGAGAGCCTACGGCCGTCGATCTTGGTTGTACGGGATGCGGCGCAGGGAAGGATGACCAGGGTGAGGGAACTTCCGGAAGTGGATTTGTTGAATTGAAGAAAAATAAGGTTCCAGATTGGGGATTTAGCCAAAATTCTTTGGAGAAAAAACCTAGGGTTTCTGAGGACTCTGATTCGGAATGCGAGAGTGAAAATGAGTTTGTAGAGAAAAATGATCCTATTGTAATTGAGGTTTTGTCCGATTCGGAAAGGGAGGAACTTGATGAGAATATAGAGAGAGCAAACATGGCTGTGGATTCACCCATGAAGATAAGCATTGCAGAAAAGGGTGAAGTGCTGAAAAATGGTGAAAGCAATGAAGGTGATAAGAATGGTGATGTGAATAAAAATTGCAAACCGGGAGAAATTAGTGAAGCAAATGTTCTTAAGATCTATGAAGGTGAAAAAGCTCATAAAAATGGCGATGGGGAGGGACGTCCAGATAGTGCTAAGAATGCCGAGGAAATTGAGAAGTTCAAATATGTACCCTCTGCTGCTGTTGATGGGAGGAAAGGGAAAGAAAGAGTTGGTGGAGGTGGTGTTTCTGTCAATGGAAAGCGTGAGTTGCCACCATCGATGAAGGGGAAAGAGAAGAATGTGAGAGGCGAGGAGGTGGTGGGTAAGGCAAGGACAAAGAATGGAGTTCTCATGGATTTATTAGAAGTTTTGAAGGTGGAGAAGGCGGTTGTAGGAGATGCCGATAGTACATATGAGGAAGATGTGGATTTCTTGGAGACGGCCAAGAGGCGAGGTTTGACATTTCCTAAGCCTAGATGGTGGCCGCCCAATGGTTTTCAAGAATAGTTCATGGTTCTTAGAAGGTGATTTCTACGGAGGAGGGAGAATAAACTTACAAGGATTCCCCTAGCAACGGCGAGCATTTCGGGAAAAGTCCAACTTGAGAATCGGGCGGCTTCGTGGTTTGAATTGTAGTCTAGAGAAGTTTCCTCAGTGGTGGACCAAGCTCAAATCCCCTGGAAAGTGGGGTGCCCAAGTCACCAAGGTTGAATGATGCAAGGCAAATGTAATGGTGGATCTGTTTTTGATTTCCTTGGGAGATAACTTTCAGTTATGGTGTAATTAACTTTTAAAATCTATGTACATGACTTGTAAATCAATAGTGATTGTTTTAGACTATTAGTACTACTAATTTTGTATTACCTTTTTCTTTTTGCATGTATTTGCTTAATTCATTTCCATCAAATGGCAAAAATGAGGCATAGTAGTGCAAGAAGAAATTTTATTTTGGGCCATAACAAGTCCACAAGGGAAGTACAAGCCTTTCAACCTCTTTACTTCTTATGTTTGGTTGTGTTTAAAGTAAATTCAATATGATTTCTAAAGTTATTTTATTTGTTTTCTGAACTTTCTTTTTTATGGTTTCAAAAGAGGGAAAAAGAAAACTTCCATTTTTATAAAGAGACATGCTATGTGTACATATGTGTACACATAGGGGTCGACATAATTTGAGTAGAGTGGGGCCCATGCTACAGTAGTGCAGGTCCCACCCCACTCACATTATGTCATCCCCTATAGATCAATCTACACATAAGAGTAATCCTTTTATAAATGGGGTAAGATGAAAAAGTGGTGTCAAACGAGCCGAGTGGCTCGCCCGCTTGGCTCGTATTGTTCACGCCCGAGCATGAGCTGAGCGGGCAGGTGGGCTAGCTCGGCTCGTAACTATTCACGAGCAGCTCATCGAGCCGCTCGTGAATAGTTACGAGCC